GTTCAGCATGTAGAGAAAGGAGTGGAGGTGGCGTAGGTTGGTGAGGAATACTCATTCTAGGAACAGGGAACAATATATGCGAGGCATAGTGAGCCCTTCATTCCTCAGGTGGTCTGTGTTCACAGCACTTCCTGTGCCACCCAGAACCCTCTGCAGGACCCAGGCACTCATTCTCCCTGCTGGCTGTTGCTAATGCTTATAGGAATCAGCCTCAGATAAGGGAGCTCTCTCAGCCAAGCTCATCCCATCCCCTAATTCAGGGGCAGCCACATCCAAATGATTGGTCAAAGCAGGAGAATAAAGGCCCAGCCCCCTTGCTTCAATTCAGGGAACTCTGAAGGACATCCCAAATCCAGAGCTCCCTGTGGGATCAGCTGGAGCCTCTCTAGGGCCTCTGATCTCCATCACAGCCCAACTCATCTCTCTGTCGGATCTCTGTCGGATCCCACAGGTGTTGAGTGGGGATGCACTCCCCAAGAAACCTCCTTCAAGCATATCTCCACTTCAGAGTGTTTTCTAGGAAACCTGCCTAAGATACTCACTAAAGTGTAAATGATTACTCAATTTCAAGGGATGCTTTCCTGAGGGTGCTTGTATAACAATCAGTAATGATAGCTAATCATCACAGAGTGATTTCTATGTGCTAGGCACTATGCCTATATGAGCTTATTTAATAAAGAAAAGAAGGAATCATGCCAAAGGAATGAATTTCTAATGGTGAAATTTCAGACTTAGGGAAGGTGAAATTGTCAGGTTAGACAGACTGGAAGTGTTTGTGTGACCCATATTCTGTCACAGGTTTCTCTGTCTCACTGTTTAATAGTACTGATCTTTTGTACTGGTTGACTGGCTGGGCAAAGCCCCCAGCAAGTCAGGGTTGGGGCTCTCAAACTCATTCTTCCTTAAAAAAAAAAAAAAAAAAAAAAAAAAAAGAAGCAGGACTTCTCTTCAGTAGTGCAATAAATATTTCTGTTCTGTCTTTTTTCTAGGGTCTCACTTCTTAGGAGCCTGTGTGGAGGTGAATTCCTCTGAAAGCCTAGTACCCCTATTCGGGACTCCCCGGACATGTTCTGAGAAATGGCGACATTGTTCCTAGTACTTCCTCTCCCTTCCTGGGCAGCTCCTGTAGCCACCCTTACATCTTCCTTCTTTAGACTTGGGCTTTCCAGCTTTCCCTTCTGTTATTACCTCCCTCCTGGTGGAGGGGCTGACCTGAAACCTCTTGCTCTCCAGGCAAGAGCCTCCCTCCATCCTTAAGCCAACGCCTTCCTGGGGAGCATGCCCGGGCAGCAGGCTATAGCCCCGACTAGCCCTCCAGCCCTCAGGAACATGTCCCAACATGTTGAGCACTGGCCTGGAAGGGGGTGGTGGTTGTTCTGTCTTTCCGGCTGCCAGCTTTGGGACAAAGGGACAATGGTAGGACACAGGAGACCCCCAGAGACCCCAAGGAGACTTTGGTCTGAATTTCTCTGAACAGAAATATGAGGTTTGCAGCAGATCCCTTGGGACTAGCCTGGCCTGGGATCTGGTGTGTGTGTGTGTGTGTGTGTGTGTGTGTGCGCGCGCACAGGCAATTTTTGCATTAGATCTTGTGTGTGACTTCTAACAACCTGCTCTCTTGCCCTCTTCATGGCCGAAGTCCTCCTTTAAGGACATACTTGGCTATACACTCAAGTGTATGGTTGGAAACTTTTTAAAAAAGTACTGAACAGTATTAGATACTTAGTAGGTACTTAATAAATATTTGTTGAGTTCTGTTGTGGTGGTGGTGGTGAGCTAGAAGTTATAAAAAAACAAAACAAAACAAAACACAAAATTCACTTCCCAACAGCAACAACAAAAAGAATTATTTCATTGTGAAGTTCAGTGCCACAAAACTTTAAATAATTCAATACAAACCTTCATTAAAAAAAATTTTTCCCCCAAAGTAAACAGACAGACAATATCAAGTCTATTTGAAGTGCTTGAAAACCAAGGGGATTCAAGGCAGCTGGAGGATATGCTTGTCTTCTGCTGGACATTTGACAACCCAGCTTTTGGGTATGTGTGTGTTTTGGGAATGGGGGCAGGGAAGGGATTGGTCCTGGGGTCTTGGCCTTTGTGAGGCCCTCCTGATGTCCAGGTATAGTCCTGATCTGAGTCCAATATCAGGCAGGCAAGGGAGTCTGGTGCTGTGCCTTCCCACCCCTACTGGGGCTCCTATGCCAGCAGCAGAGAAGACCTGTCCTCCCTGAGGTCAGCTGCGTTAGAGGAAGAAGATGGGGCATGTCTAGGCAGAGATTTCCAGACACTGAACAGTCCTAGATGTCAGTAATTGTAGCTGCTCCAAGCCTGGGTTCTATTTTTTAGAGGGATTTCTGTTCAAAGTAACATTCTGTTCTCTGTAATTAAAAAAAAAAAAAAAGATTTTATTTATTTGACAGAGAGAGAGAGAGAGAGAGAGATCACAAGTAAGCAGAGAGGCAGGCAGAGAGAGAAGGACAAACAGGCTCCCTGCTGAACAGAGAGCCCAGTGCGGGGCTTGATCAGAGGACCCTGAGATCATGACCTGAGCCGAAGGCAGAGGCTTAACCCACTGAGCCACCAGGTGCTTTCAAAAGGTTTAAAAATTTATTTTAGTGTTCTATTTTTGTTTGTTTGTTTGTTTGTTTGTTTAAAGTAAGCTGTATGGGATGCCTGAGTGGCTCAGTCCATCAAGGGTCTGCTTTCAGCTCAGGTCATGATCCCAGGGTCCTGGTATAAAGCCCAACATCGGGCTCCTCCCTCAGCAAGGAATCTGCTTCTCCTTTTGCCTGCTGCTTCCCCCTGCTTGTGCTCCCTTGCTCTCTCTCTCTCTCTGGCAAATGAAGAAATAAAATCTTAAAAAAAAAAAAAAAAATAAAGTAAGCTCTATGCCCAACATGGCCCTTGAACTCAGACCTTGAGAGCAAGAGTCATACGTTCTCCTGACTGAGCCAGCCAGGCACCCACCCCTGTTCTTTGCCATTTTTTAAAAGCAAAAACTACAAATGTTTTAGGTGAAAGGAGGAAACAAAAATGGGGTGCAAGAGGGGCTAGTGGTGGGAAGTGGGTGGGAGGAAATGGTCACCTCACTTGCTTCTGACCCACCAGCGAGAAGCACAAGTGGATGTTTCCAGAATTATCTTTCATCAGTGTCACCTCTGTACACTGCCTGAAAATGAGGGGTGCTGGGGCTTCCCTTTCTAGATCCACTTTTAATAGAGAGGGCAACAAGCAGAGAGCTGGGGGAGGCAATAGGCCTATGCTCCAGTCAGAGCTATTTATTTACTGTGTGACCTGAGTCAGGTCACTGAACTTCTCTGAGCCTCAGTTTCCCCCAGAAGTGTAAGTGAATTGTTTGGGAGAAAATCCAGGAGATAATTTGCTTACCAAATCCTCTCCCCTTCCTAGCCAACAAATCTGTTGCAATCAGGGGCATCTGGGTGGCTCCGTGGGTTAACCATCTGCCTTTAACTCAGGTCATGATCCAGGGGTCCTGGGATTGAGCCCCAAATTGGACTCCCTGAATCAGCGGGGAGACTGCTTCTTCTTCTCCCCTTCCTTCCCCTCTCCCCTTCTCTCTCTCCCTTTTCCCCTGCCCCTGCTCTTTCTTCTCTCTCACTCTCTCTCAAATAAATAAGTAAAATCTTTAAAACAATCTCTTGCAATCATAGAGATCTCTGCTGTTCAGGTGAGGAGGAGGTGGATGTGGGCCTTGAGGAGGAGGGCATAGGGAGGTTAGTTAGTTCAAGGTATGATTTACCCCATTTCCTGATTTCCCCTAGAAACCTGGTTGGCCCTTTTTTGAGAAGGATTCCCAAATCCCTCCTTCCTTGAGACTTTTGACAAGCAACAACTTCGCATCCCTTTAGTTCTGAGGACCTTGATTTCCTCACTGTGAAATAAAGGGGATCGAATCCTGTTCTGGTCTCCAAGATGCTTTGCTGGGTGTCTGGGTTCTTCAGGTGGTGCTTAGGGAGGGGGTGTCCAGTGAGGGATCCGTGGGAATATCGGTGGTAGAGTGGGCTTTTCCGGGAATTGCAAAGCGAGGTACATCCTTGTTATTATTTATGGAGTTTTATCTATTAATGTCATACCTCGTGTTTTCAGGGCCAGAGAAAGGGCTCGCGTCCTAAGAATGCCATCCCTTCGTGGGGAGTGCCAACTCACAGCCCAATTCAAACAACCCGGATTTGGGGCTCCGTTGGGGGTGACATGTGTCAAGCACAGAGGCCCAGGCGCGGGCTCGGGGGAGGAGGGAAGCGCCCGTCTGCAGCACGCGACGTTGGCATCTGAGCTCAGAGGTTTCAGAGCGCTGGCGGGCTGCGCCTGGCGACCCGCGGCGGCAGAAGGGGCGGTCCCCGGCCCTCGGTGGGCGGAGCCCTCGGACGTCAATCCTATATAAGGGCAGCGCCGGGCGGTGCCAGCCGAGGTGTGAGCTGCTCCCCGAGACCGTGGCTTGGAGAGCGGGAGCCAGGCGCTGATTCACGGAGCCACCGAGACCCTCGGAGGAGGTGAGGGAATCGTGGCAGGCAAGAGCGAACGCTGGGCTGGCGGCTCGGAGCGGAGCGCGTCCGTGTGTGTGTGTGTGTGTGTGTGTGTGTGTGTGGTCTTCACAGGTGAACGCCGTGCGTGGGTCTGTGCGTGGGTCTGGGTTTTGCTCCCACGGGTGTCGCTGTACGGGGCGCTTGTGACGGAGGTCGGGCTGTGTCGGAGACCCCGGCCGGCGAGAGACAGGGCTCCGCTGAAACCGAGCAGCGGCGAGGGGAGGCGTGGACCCGCGCTCCCGGGACCCCCGCGCGGCTCCCGGTGGCGGCGAGCGGATGAAGCCCCTGAGCGCCGAGCCCCGGGAGGGGCGGGGAACGCCGCGCAGAGCAGGTTCACTCGCGATCCGCTCCCGGGCGGCTCTAGGATCCAATCGGCGCCGTCTCCGCCCAGACCCCTGAGGTCTGGGTCCCCGACGCCTCCGTGTCCGCCACCGGCTGGGCGCTGAGGTCAGCGCGGGCTGTGTCCCTGGTCCTTGGGAACGTGTTGGGACACGTCCTTTAAGGGCAATCGAGGAGGTGACTCACGGTGACAAGGAGACCCCGGGAAACTGGCTGGGTGAGGTCAGAGCTCCGCCCCGGCTGGGGGACAATGGCCCCCCAGAAATCGGCTTCGCGGCCCTCCGCGGTCCCTGTCCTCTCGTCAGCACAGTGACTGTTTGGCTGGCAGCCAGTGTTCTCAGGGAAGCCGGGACATCAGGAGGGCCAGTACTGGTGTCCGGTCCCCGCCTCGGAGAGCGCCCTCGAGGACCCAGAGTTGTGGCCCTGAGCGGGGTGGGCTTGCGCCAGAAGTCAGTTTGAGAAGAGCAGGAGTGTGACATACTTCTCTTCCATCGCGCCCGCAGAGCCTCCGCCCAGCCAGCCCTTGGGTCAGGGCGCCGTACTCCGCCGCGGGAGCCGAGCCCTACACTGCGGGGCAGCGGGGCGCGCTGCCCACGCCCGGGGAGAGAAGACGCTGAGAGGTCACATTGGAGGGTGCGACTTCGGGGGGCGCGACGCTGCTCAGGGACTCTGACAGCCGCATCCGGTAGCCCCCGGTGTCCCCCATCAAACTGCCCTCTCCGAGGGCGACAGGTCTTAGCAGAGCGGGAGGACAAGTCGTTCTTTGGGCGCCGCCGCCCAGAGCGGGCCACAGCGCATCCGCCCTGTCGGGGGCCCTCGGGGGACACTGGCGCCCTCTTTGTGCGAAAAAGAATCTGGGAATTTGGTTTGGCACTTTAGGGTGCCCAGACAGCTACCCACCCTTCCCTCTCTCCACGTCGCGTTTCGAGTAAGACTTTCGAGCGGTTTTGTTTTCCTTGCTTTCGTCTATTTTTAATTTCCAGGGATCTGACTCATCCCGTGCTTTGGGCGTGGAGATAAGGTGGAGGGACCAAACCTCTGCGCGGCTGTGCGTGCGGAGTGTGTGTGTGTGTGTGTGTGTGTTTCTGTCACAGAGGAGCGCGCGGTTTCCCAACAGTGGCGGGGCTTTCGGAAGCCTGGCTAGCTCAGCGTGACGTGTTTGCGGCCCCCGGCACCCCCCCTTCGCCCCTCCCTACCCGAGGGGGACGCTGCAGCCTGAGTGGAAGCGAAGTTTTGGCGGGCGGGGAGCACTTTGCAGGAAACTGACTCATCACAACTCCCTGCTGCTGTCCAAGGCTCTGCCCACGCACCTCCGACCCTGCGCATGATTTCCTGGCGACCAGCGCCCCCTTCCGGCCCCGGCGCGAATAGCAAGCACGCCTTCCCGCGGAATGCCGCTTCGCCCGCCTTTCCTTCCCGCCTCGCTTCTGCTGGGCTGAGCGGCATCTGCGAGCGCCCCTTGAAGAGTACCCATTGGTTCAGCAATGTGTACCGAGTTCTTACTGTTTACTTCGGAATTAAAATTGGTTGAAGTCTGAGGCACGAAGGCTAACAAAGGGAGCTATTCTTAGTTACCTGTAAAACAAGGGTTTGTGTTTCAGAGTTTTTCCTGTACTGGGAGTTATGATAATGGGAGTGAGATCAGGTTTTGATGAGAAGCCTATGAGAGCCATAAGGGCAGGGATGGTAGGAGGGAGGATCCTGCCTGGATTCGGGTCCAATCTTCAGCTCCTAGAAGCCAGGGAACATCCAGCTTCCTGATAAAATCCTAGGCAGACTCCTCCTCCTAGAGCCAATGAGGCACTGAGACCCAGAATGTCCGCTTGGGCCATCCTGTGTATCTCCCTTGAATGGCACACTAAGAGTGCCCATCTGGGAAACTGCCAAACACCTGCTTAAATCCCTTTTAATATGAGTTAAGTTAATTTGGGGAGAGAGGAGCCTATCAATCTGTATTTTTAAAAAGCTCCCTACGTGATCCTGCTGGGCTGAATCACAAAAACCCCTTCCTGGGCTAGGAGCACAAAACTAGAGAGGGAGTGGAGATGAACACCAGAGCACAGCTGGGTTCAAATCTTGGCTGTGCTGCTGCTTGTGAGCTGTGTGACCTTGGGCAAGTTACTTAACTTCTCTGAGGCTTAGTTACTTTTGTAAAAAAAAAAAAAAAAAAGGAGCAAATATACCCCCTCTCAAATATATCCACTCCTTTAGGAAAATTAATATTGGTAAACTTATTAGAACAGGCCCTGGCACATAAAAATATATAAATAAATCCTGACCCTTGCCCTGAAGAGAGTGGGTGAAGGTTATTTGAAGGCTCTGCCCACTGCACTGCGTAACCCCTCCATGGGCCAGTGGCCTTTGGCCTTTCTGGTTTTCTGATTTAGGGGTAAGCTTCATATCTCTCCAAACTCTTGCCCTTTAAACTTGCTCTGAGGCCACCTAGTGCCTCCCCCTCTCCCATAAGCTGTGAAAGGTGGGGTAGGGAGGGGTAACTGTGGCAAGGGTCTCAGGCTTCCTGACCCAGGAGATCACTCAGCAGAGCTTTCACCCTCCGAGCCTGCAAAGCAGGACTTGTCCTCAGGAAGACCCAGTCCCTGCCAAGGTTGCCCAGCCGCTCAGCCCTGGCGTCAGGCCAGAGCAGGGCAGGTGGGGGCCGGTGCCTCGTCATGAGCACACTCACCCTTGCTTTTCCCTCTTCTGAAGTGGGAAGGGAGGAACCTGGTAGACCGGCCACCTCTAATTTTCTTTGCCTGCAAAACGGGTTCCTGGGACATAGCAAACGTGGGGCAGGGGCTTCCAGACTGTCTAGACTACAGATCACCCAATGTGCCTGGCAGGATGTGGCTCAGCCTGGGAGAAATCCTCACCCAGCCCTGCCCAGCCCTGCCCCTCCTCACCCCCAGGCCTCCTGCCTGAGGACATCCTTGGGAAAGGCCCTCAGCACATAGCACCTGTCAGCTGGTGTCTGAAGGAGCTGGTGGCCAGTGGGGAGCGACTTAGAGAAGGCTCGGGAAGAACTGAACACAGAAAGAAATAGTAAGACTTCTGTTTTCCAAGCCGTTAGATATCCAGGTGCTTCTCTAAGCATGATACCTACAGTAACTGAAGTTAATCCTCATGTCTGTCCTCTGAGACATGCAGTTACTGTCTCCATTTTACAGACGAGGCAAATAGAGCCCAGAGAAGTCAAGCTACTTGTCCAGGGTTACCCAGCAGAGCCTAGATTCCAACCGAGGCCATCCTGATCCAGAGCCCTGGCTCTTAACCACAAAATACAGCCTCTCACCTCTGTTCTATTGCCTTGCCTGAACTGACCTTGCGACTCCCTGACCGATTGCTTGAGTGTGCTTCTACAGTCCCTTTTTATAGATGAGAAACCTGGGGCCCAGAGACATTAAGTGACTTTTAATTTTTTTAATTTTTAAAAAATTTTAAGGGATTCTTTAAAGTTTACGTAGTAAGCAGCAGAGCTAGGACCACTAGGTGATTTTTTTGTTTTGTTTTGTTTTTTTGTTTTTGTTTTTGTTTTTATCCCAAAGACCAGGGTACTTTTGAATTTCAGAACAGTTATGCCACATGGACATCTGGGTGGAGGGATTCAGGAGCCCAGAGGAGCTGTCAGCCTGTCCTTTCCCTTGGGACCTGACCTTTTGCCCAGGGCTGGGGTTGGGAAGCTGCTGGACTCTGGCAATTCACACGTACTTGGGGCATTCACGCCCATGAGGGACACCTCAGGGGGAAACAAATTGATTTTAGCTGATAATACCTGGTAGTAAACAGGACTCTGATCCCTGCTATTGCAATAAACTTGTCTTTGTTGACATAACTTGTCCTTCAGCTGCCCACTCCCCCAGTGACCTTGCGGTGCTAGGATGGCTGAGTTCTGTCCCCACCCAGTGGCTGTTGACTGGGGGCTGGGGGTGACCTCTGGGAAGGAGATGGTGGCAAATCAACTGGAAGGAGCCAGAGAGACCTCATGTTCTCGTAGGAAGGTGTCCTGCGAGCTCGCATTGCAGAGCACAGCCTGGTAAGATAGGGCGTGACCTCCCGAGTGACCGGGGCCTTGTGTCTCAGCCACAGGTGACATGGAGGAGCCATCCAGGGAGGACCGGCAGATCCCTCGGGGCAGCACAGCTTGCCGCCGGCTCTTCGGCCCCGTGGACAGTGAGCAGCTGCAGCGAGACTGTGACGCGCTGATGGCCGGCTGTGTGCAGGAGGCCCGGGAGCGATGGAACTTCGACTTCATCACTGAGACGCCACTGGAGGGCGACTTTGCCTGGGAGCGTGTGTGGGGCCTGGGCCTGCCCAAGCTCTACCTGCCTACAGGGTCCCGGGGGGGCCGGGATGACCTGGGAGGGGGCAAGCGGCCCAGCCCTTCATCTGGCCTGCTGCAGGGGACCGCTCAGGAGGACCATCTGGACCTGTCGCTCTCCTGCACCCTCATGCCTCACTCCCCCGAGCGGCCAGAGGGATCCCCAGGGGCTCCTGGCACCTCTCAGGGCCGGAAAAGGCGGCAGACCAGCTTGACAGGTGAGCATGGGTGCAGGGAAGGACACTGAGGGGGCCTCTCAGAGTTCATGGTGCAGGGGGCTGGCCTGTCCGGTCCGGCTCGCTCACTGGGTCAAAAGGGAAACAGGCCCAGAGAGGGGAGGCAACTTGCCTGAGGTCACACAGCAGGTCTGCAGCCAAGACCAGCTAGCTAATATTTATTGGGAACATTTAATATATGCCAGTTCCCTTATAAAATAGTCTTTCTTTCGTTCGTTCTTTCTTTCTTTAGATTTATTTATTTATTTACCAGAGAGAGAGGGAGAGAGAGAGAAAGCATGAGCAGGGGGAGGGGCACAGGGAGAGGGAGAAACAGACTCCCCACAGAGCAGGGAGCCCAACACGGGGCTCAATCCCAGGACCCAGGGATCATGACCTGAGCCAAAGGCAGACGTGTGACTGACTGAGCCACTCCGGTGCCCCTAAGGTGGTTTCTAAGGTGGGTTTCATTTAATTCTCATAGCAGGCCTATACCATATGGCATTCTTGCCACTCTTTTATAGGAGAGGAAATAAGGCTCTGAGTGGTGGAGTGGTGGAGTGGTGGAGTGGTTTGCCTAAGGTCCCACAGCAAATTTACAGTGTAGAGAAAACTAATGAGAGCAGTCTCCTGGCTACCCTATCCAAACCTAACTCACCTTCCCCATCACACACACACTTGCCATCTGCCTTCCCAGCCTAGTTTTTTTCTCTTTGGCATCTTGTTCGTTTGTCTGCTTTTACTCTCAACAGCTACTGCCTTATCTGGGTGTTCATCTCTCTCGTGAGTATATTATCTCCATGAGAAAGAGATCTGCATCTCTCTTGTTTGTTGCTGAATCTCCAGCACCTAGGACAGCGTCTGGCATATAGTAGGTGCTTGATTAAAAAAAAAAATGAATGAGCAATGCTGAACTTTGAGGCATTTCTTATGGCAGGGCCCAGACCAAAGCCATTAGAGCATTTCATTCGGTCCTTAGAGCAGTGCACCAATGTCAGCTTCATATTATACATGAGGAAACAGGCTCGGAGAAGAACATTCAAGAATCCCATGGCACCTGGGTGGCTCAGCTGGTAAAGCATCTGACTCTTGGTCTCGGCTCAGGTCTTGATCTCGGTGTCATGAGTTCAAGCCCTGTGTTGGGCTCTATGCTGGGCGTGGAGCCTTCTTAAAAAAAAGAAAGAATCCCATGGAAACTTGCAGCTGGATCAGAACTAAGAACACGGACCATAATAATACTAGCTCACATTTATGTGGCTGAGTCACTGCACAGAAGACTTGTCATAGATTATCTAACAGCATTTCTGGAGCAGTGCTGTTTAATGGAATTCTGCGGTGATGCAAATGTCCAGTGCCAGCGGGCACAAATAGCCACTGAGAATTTAACATGTGGCTGGTGTGACTGAGAAACTGAATTTCTCATTTTATTTCATTTCATTTAACTACATAGGGCTGCTGGCTGCTTTAGTGGTGCAGCTCCACGCATGGAGGTCTGGTTATTGTTGGCCACTTCTGTGAAGGGTGGTGGGAGCTCTCTGTAATGCTCTCCTGGGAGGCAGAGTGGAAGTTTCCAGAGTCCTCCCCTGCACTTGGCAATGTGTCCCTTTGGCCCTAGGGAGGGGTCCCTGCCCCCTCTGTGTGTGCTTTAGGTGGATAGCTCAGCTGGGCCCTCTGCCTCCTAGTTGGCTGACTTCTGTTTTCTCTTTCCAGATTTCTATCACTCCAAACGCCGGCTGATCTTCTCCAAGAGGAAGCCCTAATCGGCTCACTGGAAGCCTTAAGCTCCTAGATATGAGAGTTCCATTCCTGCCCCCCCCATAACCCCCCTACCCTCACCTTCTACAACTTTTGCCTTTAGCCCTTCAGTTTGTGCGTCTTAATTATTATTTGTGTTTTAATTTAAACTCCTCCTCTTGTATATATCCTGCTTACCACCACCATCCCCCAATGCCTCCCCAGCCTTTGGCCTTTAGAATTATTTAAAAAATCATGAGACAACAGAATGATAGGCTTATTAGAGTGCTAGGTATTTAAGATGTCTTCATCTTATGGGGAATGAAGATGTCTTCCTCCCCATTTCCGTGCTCCCAGAGGTCAGGTGGGGCTGGCCTGACCCTCCCTTGCTGGGTGGTGCTCTCTGGAGGAGCCCGCTGCCTCTGCTCACCGCCTCATAGGTGTTATAAAATCCCACCCCTTTCCTGTATTCCCAAACCTTATAAAATTCTTTATAATTTGAGAAGTAAATAGCACTTTGAAGGGGGCTTCACAGGATGGGAGCATCATCAAAACTTTGAAGTCCCCTCACCTTCTCTAAGGTAGGACAGGGTGACCTTGAAGTGGGCACAGCCTGGAACATGGCTGGGGACGTGGCACTCTCCTCGCCTTTGATGCCCCACTCTGTCCTGTGAAGACCTGGGAGAAGGTAGGGTCCTGTAGCAAACCACCCCACCTCCCCTTACCCCCTCTGCCACCACAGGGGAGCCAGTCTCAACATTTGGCCTCCCCTGCACTTTTCTAGAAGCTCCAGATGCCTCTCTTTTCCAGCTGGGCTTTCAGGTCCCTCTTTGCCCCCCCCCATACCCTTTCCCTCTAGTACCTTCTCAGCCCTGGGTGGCAGCTCTGGGGTGCCTATCCCCCCAGCTCAGTGGACTGGGAAGAGAAGGGGTATGCTAGAAGTAGGGTGTCCCTAGTTCTACCTCAGGCAGCTCAAGTGGTGATCATCTCCTCCTCTTGCCTTCTGGGGCAGAGGTCTGGGGTGGTCAGACAGGCCTTCTTGAGTGGGGATCTCTCGGTCAGGGACATGTTGTTGGGGGGAGCAGAATTTTCTAGGAAGGCAAGGGTGACACCGGCCCCTGGAACTCACCCAAGGACTTTTCCCACTGCCCCCCTCCCTTCCCCCATTTCATTGCACTTTGAATAGCAGCTGAACAAGGAGTCAGAGGTTTTAAGACGGTGGGGGTAGAGGCTGTGGATAGGGCTTGCTGAGTGGGCTCAGATGGGCCTGGGAGCTGTGAGCTGTTGTCTTTCCTGGCACGGAGCCAGGAGCCCCTGGAGGCCCCAAAGCACTTAATCTGACCCCAAACACCTTAAGCTCCCAAACTTCCTGGCCTGGACTGTTTCCTCCTAGCCCCTCATGTGCCCTGGTTCTCCTGTCTCCATCTAGACTGTAAGCCTCTGAAGGGCAGAAACAAGTCCTGTACTGCTCTATGTCCCTCACAGCCTCTCCCACAGTGCTGGGTATACAGCAGGTGCTAAATAAATATTTCTTAGTGACTTGACTTGTACTGTGATCATTATACCTCATCATTTGTAAAACCGAGTAGGTGGAAGTTTTTTGGGTCATTGCTACAGTTCTAACAATCGAGCATTTCAAGTTAAAAAAGGCAGACAGCTTAACAAACAGAAAGACCATGAGGCAAAAGACACAGCAAAACAAAAACAGTAAACACCCACACCTTGGCAAAGATCATCCCGGCCAATATTTGGGTTTATTGTTGGGCCTTTTTAAGTAAAGAACATACCGTTAGTCACCAAGGAAATGCAGATCATTACTCACTGGGGGAAACGCACATTAAAACCACAATAAGATAGCGCTGTGCACCTACCAGAATGACTAAAACGAAAAAGACTGACATTGCCAAGTGTGGGCAAGGATAGGGAACAACCGGAACTCTTAAATCTTATAGACGGAAGTATGACCTAGCTCACCTACTTTAGAAAATTGCTTGACAATACCTTCTAAAGGTGGCTCCCCCGGGCACCAGGGTGGCTCAGTTGGTTGGGCATCTGCCTTTGGCTCAGGTTGTGATCCCCAGGTCCTGGGATCAAGCCCTGCATCTGGGCTCCCTGCTCAGTGGGGAGCCTGCTTCTTCCTCTCCCACTTCCCCTGCTTGTGTTCCCTCTCTCACTGTGTGTGTGTGTCTCTCTCTCTGTCAAATAAATAAATAATTAATTAAAAAATAAAAAAGATGGCTTCCCTCATGTCTGCTGTGTGACACAGGAATTCCATTCCTAAGTTTGTTCTCAAGAGAAATCAGTACATATTTCTACCAGACGACATGTTCCTAGCAGCATTATTCTTGACAGACCCAAACTGGGAACAACCCAAATGTCCATACAAGAATAGATATGTAGGGGGGCCTGGGTGGCTCAGTCAGTGAAGCGTCTGCCTCCAACTCAGGTCATGTTCCTGGGGTCCTGGGATTGAACTCCTCATTGGACTCCCTGCTCAGCGCGGACAGCCTGCTTCTCCCTCTCCCTCTGCCTGCCGCTCTCGCCGCTTGTGCTCGCTCTCTCTCTTCAAGTAAATAAAGAAAATCTTAAAAAGAGAATAGATGTATAGATTGCGGTAGCTTTCTGTAGTGAAGTACTACACAACATTAAAAAGAACAAAGTGACCCACAACTCTAATCTTTGACGAAGCAGGAAAGAATATCCAATGGGAAAAAAACACAGTCTCTTCAACAAATGGTTCTGGGACAACAGGACAGCTACAAGCAAAAGAATGAAACTGGGCTACTTCCTCAAACCAAATAAAATAAACTCAAAATGGATAAAGGTCAGATGTGAGATAGAAATCCGTCAAGATCCTAGAGAAAGCAGGCAACAACCTCTGTGACTTTGGCTGCAGCAACTTCTTACTAGACGTGTCTCTGGAGGCGAGGGAAACAAAAGCAAAAATGAACTACTGAGACCTCATCAAGATAAAAAGCTTCTGCACAGCAAAGGAAACAATCAGAAAAACTAAAAGGCAGCCTATAGAATGGGAGAAGATATTTGCAAATGATGTATCTGAAAAGAGCTGGTATCCAAGATCTATAAAGAATTTATCAAACTCAATATGCAAAGAACAAATAATCCAATCAAGGAAGGGGCAGAAGACATGAAAAAATATTTTTTCAAGGAAGACATCCAGATGGCCAACAGACACATGAAGAGATGTTCAACATCATTCATCATCAGGGAAATACAAATCAAAACCAGGATGAGATATCACCTCACCCATCAGAATGGCTAAAATTAACACAAGAAACAATAGGTGCTGGCAAGAATGCAGAGAAAGGGGAATCCTCTTAGTGACTGCTGGCGGGAATTCAACTGGGGCAGCCATGCTGGAAAACAGTATGGCGGTTCCTCAAAAAGTTAAAAATAGAGCTACCCTATAACCCAGCAATGGCATTACTAGGTATTTACCCAACACATACAAAAATAGTGATTCAAGGGGGCACATGAACCACAATGTTTATAGCAACATTATCAACCATAGCCAAATCATGGAAGGAGTCCAAATGTTTATCAACAGATGAATGGATAAAGAAGATGTGGTATAGATATTTATATACAATGGAATATTATTCAGTCATAAGAAAGAATGAAATCTTGCCATTTGCGACAACGTGGATGGAACTAGAAGGTATTATGCTAAGTGAAATAAGTCAGTCAGAGAAAGACAAATACCATATAATTTCACTCACATGGGGAATTTAAGAAGCAAAACATGAACTTAGGGGAAGGGAAGGAAAAATAAGATGAAAACAGAGAGGGTGACAAACCATAAGAGTCTATTTAAGAGAACAAACTCAAGGGTTCCAGGGTGGCTCAGTCAGTTAAGTGTCTGACTCCAGATTTTGATTCAGGTCATGATCTCAGGATTGTGAGATCAAGCCCAGCGTCAGGCTCTGCACTCAGTAGGGAGTCTGCTGGAGAATCTCTCCCTCTCCCTCTGCTCCTCCTCACAACCCATGAGTGCTCTCTCCCTCTCAAATAAATAAATAAATCTAAAAAAAAGAGAATAAACTTCAGGTTGTGGAGGGAGGTGGGGGGGATGGGCTAATGGATGATGGGCATTAAAGAGAGCACATGTGATGAGAATTGGGTATGCTACATAAGTGATGAATCACTAAATTCTACTCCTGGAACCAGTATCACGCTATCTAGAATTTAGATAAAATTTTGAGGGGTGCCTGGGTGGCTCAGTAGTTAAGCATCTGCCTTTGGCTTAGGTCATGATCCCAGGGTCCTGAGATCAAGCTCTGCATAGGGCTCCTTGCTTGGTAGGAAGTCTGCTTCTCCTTCTCCCACTCTCCCTGCTTGTATTACCTCTCTCACTGTCTCTGTCAAATAAAGAAATAAAAATCTTAAATAAATAAATAAATAGAGTTCTGAAAAAATAGAAAGAGAACAAAGTAGTTTACATGCATGTTCTGATTATTTATTCATAACTAGCCACTCCAAGACTTTAGTGGCTTAAAATGATAATCATTTATTTGCTTCTGATTCTGCAATTTGGCCAAGAACTACTTTTCAAATGTTGGATAATTCTCTGCTTTTGCGGGCATGGCTTTGTTCCAGAACCCCAGTGGTCTGAGTTAGGACTCTCCCACTGGGGCGTCTCAGAGACTTCACACTGTCTACTCATCTCCCATGGATATTTCTAGTACCAGGGGATACACTGGCTCATATGTCCCGAGGGCTTGTCCTATCGCAGGGACTTGGCACGGAGCCCTCTTCTGTTCTGGACTCCACTCAAACATGGCAGCTCCCATGTCATCCAGCCACTTGGCTGGAGTGGTAATAGAGAGCTTCCAAAGCCCAAACTGGCTCACAAGTGCTACGCCTCTTTTTAGGGGGAACATGTCCACAGTACAATGACTCGTCCTTTCCTCTAGAGGGAATGTCCCAACATGTTCCAGTTCATCTGACCACTGAAAACATTACCTGGCAGGTCTCTGAATTTTTGTAGGAAATGTGAACATGATCCCCCTTTTTTTTTTTATCCCCTTTACTGGAATAGATTGGAAAGAATGCACTGGCCATATTATGAACTTCTTCCAGTCAGAGGCCATGTAGACTATTCTGGCAAAGATACCATATCTAATACAATATCTGCAATTAGGGCTACCACGTGGGTAGCTGTGGATTGCCGTGCTTCACTTGCAGCATAGGGAGGACTGAGTGGGGGTCTGATGGGGACCTCCTGGCATACTCTAGGGCTTTGAGAGTAATGCTCATCTCTGCACTTCTGCTTGCTCTGTGGTATTGCTTCTAATGTACCGTCTTGACCCCTAGGATAATTTTAGAGATTTCCACTCCATCCTTCTTCCTATAATGACTCTTATTCCACAGATAAAAGAACCAATCGTGAGGGTTCTGCCAACTGCTAAATATATCTGCCCCAATTTGCACCCAGGGGCTGGGAGAGGAGCACAGAGTCAGTCCACCAGCCCCCTGAGACTCTGAGATGCACCTGGCCGGGACTCTGTTATCACCCAGCCTCGCATGTCCCCCTCCTCTAAAAGGAGGCTAGGATGGTATTTTGGGTCACCCAGTACTGGTCTAAGCTCAGACTCTGTACCGAATAGACCTCAAGAGAGCTTTTCCACACTGTGCAGCTATTCTGGTAAATAGCCAGAGGGCACATTGAAGGGAAGAATTGAGGAAATATTTTAGTATACTTACAGTGATCTTATAGGTCTTTTTCTTCTATCAGTGAGTCTGGGTATGAGAACCGGCTCATACTTGGCAGCTAGGTGAGAGATTCTGATTTTCTGTCATGGCAGCTGGTATCAGCTTCTGCTCACTGCCCCTCCCCCCGCATCAGGTGGTTCAGTCAAGCAACGTTCCATTAAATACTCCCCTCTCTTACCCCTGGGAATGCCCCCCCCCCCCCCCCCCCGGCCCCCCCCCCCCCCCCCCCCGCCACAGGGCTCTGGTTACCCATCAGGCCTTGCATCTACCTTGCCTCTGATGATTAAGTGGTTCCATGCAGCCTCTGCTCCTCCCGAATTTTAGTGTGTCCGTTGACGGTGGCCCCGGCATTCCATGACAGCATCTCCAAGCCAGCACCGAGATGAGTCCTTTATTGCTTTGAGAAGGGAGGGTCTTCTGGACCCTCGTGGGGATGACAGTGAGCTGGCGGGTCCTCACACACAATAAGTCCATTCTATCTTGGCGCTTTCTAACCCCTCCCTGCTCTCTTCCAGGGCGTTTCAGCATCGCCCCGTCTCCAACAACAGGCCGTCGCTCTGTCAGGTTTTAAGCACTAGCCAACTCCCCCCTGGGTTAGGACCAGCTCCAGGAGGCCTTGCCAGGATGTTCAATCTTGAATTAAGAGAGATTGGCCTCCATCCAAGCTCTCTTTACCCAGCCTGTATTCCCCGTAGCCTTGAGATCGCCCCGGCCCATAGCCTTGAGATCGCCCATGTGTGTTTCCCTGGCCCTACCCGTACTTACTTATTAGCCAGACTGTAGCCTTTTTTTTTTTTTTTTTTTTG